GGAGCCGGCTTCAGCCGGCTTGAAGCGAGGTACTATTAGCAACAGCTTTCCTTGAGCAAAATATGATAACGTGGAATATTTCCCATGCGGTTCTCCCTACAATTTACAAAAGATCGCTCGCGAAAAAAAATTCCGAGATTATCTGAGTGAGATTCTCCCAAAATATTAGGTTGTTCCGAAAGTTTTGTCCGTTTTTTCAACCTATCATAAAAACGCATGGAACGGAAATAGGAAAACGCTCTAAGAACTATCCGATGCATCTTTTCCTTCTCTTTCTAACTGTCATGCTTCCATGCCGATTAATCTTTTGTTCACTGAGATAAACGCCGAAATTTCGAACCCATGGTTTTTACTATGTCCAAGTTTGGCAATTTTTCATAATCTTTATTTTTGACTTTCGGAAAAGCTTTGGCAACAGTTAGATAGAGCAAACAAAGGGCAATATAAATGCAATTTTGCGGCATCTATAGCCAGCCTTGAAAATTTTTTAGAATTATTTTCTGATGCTATCAAATTCCACTTTTGGTGATGCCAAAAGCCAGAGATCATGAAACGGAGCACAACGTGTTATTGTTATTGTTTTCGGTGTTATTCGATGCAGCTTTTCCTCCTCTTTCCAGTGAGTGTCTTTCTCTCCAATTTCCGGGGTCCTTGGCGATAAAATTTTCATAATTCTTGAATTTGACCCCACCCCAGCGTGTGCACATAAAATGCAAAATCTTATATTTCAAAGCGGTAAACGCTCATTTGCTTCGTAAAAATAGTGAATAATCGTAATCGGTTTTTGAAAGCTTCAAAATCCGATGACTTGTTAGTGTTCGAGGCGTTTCTGTATTTTAGAACTTCTCAAAAGTGAAGACTTTTGAAAAAAATTATCTTCAAAAGTATTGAAAAGCCAGCTAGATATCCAAATAATTGCATTGCATTGCCCTTTGCTTACTCTATCTGAGAACTATCAAAAGTCTTCCAAAAGTTGAAAATGAAGATTGTGAAAAGTTGTCAAACTTTGACATAGTAAAAACCATGGGTTCGAAATTTTGGCGTTTATCTCAGTGAGCAAAAGAGTAATCTGCACAAGATTATGACAGTTAGAAAGAGGAGGAAAAGTTGCGTCGGGTAGTGCTTAGAGCGTTTTCCTATCTTTGTTCCACGTATTTTTATGATAGGTTGAAAGAACGGACAAAACTTTCGGGACAACCTAATACTTGCTTTCAAAGGATAGATATTTTAGCAGATTAAGAAAGAGATAGATGAGAAAATTCGCACTGAAGTCCTCTCCCCAGGACCCTCGCTTTCTCTTCAAACAAGACTAAAGCTTACTGCCTTTCTCTGCGGCAAAAGTAGATTTTATAGAAGAAAAAGCTTTTAACAGCAGTTTCTTTTGATGCCTTCCAAGGGGATCATGTTCGCCCTGCTCTTTTCTTTTTGGGCAAAAGTAGGAATTTCTCAGTGAAAAAAACCTAAAATTTCTTTCGACATCAAACTTTATCTGTAAAACCTTGGAACTTCGAAATCGCACCCTTAAAGTCCTTTGTCCCCTCCAAGGGGACCATGTTCGCTTTGCTCCTTTCTATTTGGGCAAAAGTAGGAATTCCTCAGTGAAAAAAACCTAAAATTTATTTCGACATCAAACTTTATCTGTAAAACATTGCAACTTCGAAAATTTCGAAGTTCCAATGTTTTACAGACAAATTGCCCATAAAGTCCTTGGTCACTTCCAAGGGGACCATGTTCGCCCTGCTCTTTTCATTTTGTTCAAAAATAGGGATTCCTCAGTGAAAAAAAACCCAAGGGTAGTTTGTTTGTGAGCCCTTGGAGTTCGTTAGAAATAAAACACGTGCCGCATAGAGTCCCTAGTCCCCTCCAAGGGGACCATGTTCGCTTTGCTCCTTTCTATTTGGGCAAAAGTAGGAATTCCTCAGTGAGTTAAAAACCTAAAATTTCTTTCGACATCAAACTTTGTCTGTAAAACATTGGAACTTCAAAAATTTCGAAGTTCCAATGTTTACAGACAAATTGCCCATAAAGTCCCTGGTCACTTCCAAGGGGACCATGTTCGCCCTGCTCTTTTCTTTTTGGGCGAAAGGAATTTCTTAGTGAAAAAAAGTGCGTGCAGCATATTCTTTTGTCCCTTCCAGAGGAACCATGTTCGCCCTGCTCTTTTCTTTTGGGCAAAAGTGGAATTCCTCAGTGAAATTATTCCCAAACGTAGTTTTTTTTGTGAGCCCCTGGAGTTCGTTAGAAAAAAGTGCGTGCCGCATAAAGTTCCTTGTCCCTTCCAAGGGGACCATGTTCACTCTGCTCTTTTCTATTTGAGCAAAAGTAGGAATTCCTCAGTGAGTAAAAAACCTAAAATTTCTTTCCACATCAAACTTTGTCTGTAAAACATTGGAACTTCGAAAATTTCGAAGTTCCAATGTTTACAGACAAATTGCCCATAACGTCCCTGGTCACTTCCAAGGGGACCATGTTCGCCCTGCTCTTTTCTATTTGGGCAAAAATAGGGATTCCTCAGTGAAAAAAACCTGAATTTCTTTCCACAAATTTCAAACTTTATCTGTAAAACCTTGGAACTTCGAAAATTTCGCGCCCTTAAAGTCCCTAGTCCCTTCCAAGGGGACCATGTTCGCTCTGCTCTTTTCTTTTTGGGCAAAAGTGGCATTCCCCAGTGAAATAAATCCCAAACGTTGTTTTTTTTGTGAGCCTCTGGAGTTCGTTAGAAAAAAAGTGCGTGCCACATAGAGTCCCCCTGGTATTTGCTGCCAGCGAGACCATGTTCGCCTGCTCCTTTCTTTTTGGGCAAAAGTAGGAATTCCTCAGTGAGAAAAAAACCTAAAATCTTTTTCGACATCAAACTTTTTCTGTAAAGCCTTGAACTTCGAAAATTTCGCGCCCATAAAGTCCCGGGCCCCTTTTAAGGGCCAAAAAAACCCAAGGGTAGTTCGTTTGTGAGCCCTTGGTGTTCTTCCGAAAACGTGCGTGCCGCATAAGGTCCCTAGTCCCTTCCAAGGAAACCATGTTTGCCCTGCTCTTTTCTTTTTGGGCAAAAGAGGAATTTCTCAGTGAAAAAAACCGAAAGGTAGTTTGTTTATGAGCCCTTGGAGTTCTTTAGAAGAAAAATACGTGCCGCATAGAGTCCCCTTCCCCTAGTCTTTGCTGCCAGCGAAACCACGTTCGCTCTGCACTTTTCTATTTGGGCAAAGCAGAATTCCTTAGTGAATAAGAACCCAAAAGTGTGTTTGTGAAACATTGGAGTCCTTTGAAAAATCTTCGTGCCTTGACAACAACAGCAAAAAATATATAGAAGTCTTTCATTTCTCAACTGCTTTTTCCTTTGAGGGTGTGGAGTTGCGTTCATTTATGAAAGATTGCAGTGAGTTGTCGGACGACGTACTAAACTACGCGACATAGAACAAAATCCGGAAAATTCGGCTATCGCAGAAGCCTGGTGATCACAATACAGCGTTTGTTGAACAAATCGAAGCTAATCATGCACAAGACGGTCTCGAACTCATAGAAAAACTCTATAACGACAATTATTTTATTTGTGCATTAACCATTTATGCATTTAATTGCTAGCTGTGGAAAAAAAGCATCATTGCATCATCAATAGTGTAAATCTAATCCAATTATTTCCAGTTAAAATGATTATGGAAGTAGGAGGGCAGTATGCTATGCTAATTATTTGTATGTTGAACAAAAAAAACTTCAGCTCCCATCAAGCTGACAAAAATAGGGAGCGTTACTTGAGCAGAAGGTTAACTTTTTGTGAAGAAATGTCCCATGAAGAGTCAAATAAGAGCCGTGAGCTCCAGTAGGTAACAAAATACTGCTTGAATGCGTGCACGACAGTACAAAATGACACAAGCGATCAATAACTTTCTTCGTACCCCATCGGCGAGAGCCACTGTGACAGAAACACAACAACAATCTCTTGCCCAGAATAATGACTACCTATATACCGCTTATGGATTATCGGTAATTCTAAATGTAATGTGTTTGTGATCAGCCTTCAAACATACACCCCCTATGCCAAATGGTAGCCGCTCAGCTCAATGTTGAAAAATTTCCGCTCCGCACGGGACCCATAGTGCGAGCGAATCTCTCGCCGGCATAATGGCTACTGGCCTCTCCTCTCGCCATCACTGAGCGCCGTTATATTTTCGCATTCCTTTTTCTGGATTCCTTCAGCAACTGGACCCTCCGTCACGCTGGGATTAAGGATAGGAGGGACGCAGAAAACTCTGCCGTCGCGCTTGAAATGATCGAATGTATATTATAGAAAGGATTAGGGGACATTATTTATTCTCACATCGGGATAATCATATGAGCTTAACTTCAACCGCTAGCATTTGATAGAGCTTTTTACACTCTATCCATGGGTAATGCTACTCATCTCAACTTCCTCATCACAAAGTTATGGGTCAAACGTGTTTTCTAGCCTGAAAATCTGTGCCGAATATCCATTTTTTCTAATGTACCATCATATAAAACAACCAAGAACTCCTGCACATTTAAGTAATCAGTAGAAAGATCATGGAAAGTCTCTCTGATTGTTGTGTCAAAAGTCCAAGGACTCTGCAATACAGCAGCACCAATTTCGATAGCTTTCATACGGTCTGTCCAATTTCTTCGTCCCTCGCTCAAATTTGTGGGAGTGGAGCTGTAAAGCAGTGCCAGAATGACATGCGAGCGTCACTTAAGAGGTGTTTACATTGCTGTTTATCGTTGATCAGGAAGAAAACCTTCGAAACTGAAAAAAGTAATCAGGTTGTCTCATTTGGATCACTTTTTAGAAAGTCGCCATCGTTGTTAGGGTGTAAAGGGAGAATAAAAAATCTTCTACAGTGCTTATGGCTCAACGTTTTGCCTATGCTGTGCTTACGTCTTCTTCCTTACTTCTGTTTTTCCATATCAAGGCTTGCTAAAACCATATGCCACTCTTTCCTTTTCTCCACATTTTCTGTTTTATTTGGGATTTTCAAAATGTGTAACTTTAGCCACATGAACATGATGGTTCAACCAGAGGGCAAGTATCCATTGTTACTGGCGATCGAAATGCATCGTCTGGAAATAGTGCGACGAATGCTGGCATTAGGTGCTGACCCGATGGTTGTGGATATTAATGGAAATAATGTTATGCACTATGCTTCAGTTTCTGGAGTGCCCGTTATTGAAGTTGGTCTATTCTTCCAAAATTTGTGAATGTCTTGGAAGCTTTCGATGCTCATCTTTTTCATTCTTTCTCATTTAGCTGCTTTGGGAATTCGAAGAATGTCATGGTCTTATCAACCACACAAATGACGAAGGATATACTCCGGTTATGTTAGCGATAAGAGCAGCAAGTCCGCGATGCGTTGCCGCACTTCTTAACTGTGGAGCTGAGCTGACAGTCGTTCCTCATGGCCGTAATCCTCTCTTCGAAGCTGTGCAGAGCAAAGGCACCACCCCAGAGTAATCTTATTGTCCCTGAAGCCGTAACTTTCATGACGAGTGCAATTTAGCATAATCAAAGCCCTTCTTCATGTCTCACCTGAGCTTCTCACCGAGCGAGATTCTACCGGCAATACTGTAGTCCACGCTGCAAAGTATAAATCTTCTTTGGTGGGTTTGATGATGCTCAAATCTGATGACATCGATTTGGACGCTACAAACAATATTGGACAAACACCTCTGCACATTTACACGCACAAGGTACTATTTGTTAACCTATGCCAGGCTTGAATTAGATGAGTTTTTTTTTTTGAGGGAGCGATTGGTTTGATGGTGACAATACTATCTAATGGATGCAACATAAATGCTCAAGATAGGAATGGAAATACAGCACTACATGTTGCCGCTACAAGAAGAAACACAGAGGTTTGTCTCCTTTTGAAATGAGTGCAGGTTTTTCCTACGGCCGTTATGCTGAAAAACCAAACTCGCTGACTATTTACACCTTTCTCTATGACAATTCCTCCGAGAGAAAATGAGTTTTGACGGTGGAAACGTTCAACTGTATATCAGTGTTCCAATATTTTTTTTTCCAATTTCACCAAAACCACCGCTTTTCTATCTGCTCCCTTCAATGAGTGCGGCTTAAATGGCCTTCCACTGAGTAAGGCAAGCTTAAATGGCTACTAAGCGTCCGCTTTCGTGTTTGACGTAAAATACGAAGCTGAAGTCTGATAGTGGGAAAACGAATTCAAGTCTTGAAGATTGTGTCTATCCCAAAACATCCGAAAAATTTCCCATTTATCTCAAGTTATACCTGACCATTAAACATCTAACTAAACGCTTTCCGTAAATCTTCCATGATCAGCAATGAAGCAAAACTGATGAAAAGAAATGGCGAACTCTGCTCTTAGCGCCGGGTTCCTCATGCACACGTGATTATATAATACATACATTCATGAATACAGTGACATATTTGTATCTCAGTGTCGGACCGCGGGGGGGGGCTTTTACTTTGCTCAAAGATTTTCATGAATCAAATACGACTGTTCCGCAATTTTTAGGCTGCTCGACTCTTGCTTTGCTTGGGTGCGAACCCTAACATCAGCAATGCAAATGGTGACAGTCCAAGACATATGGCTGCACGTCTGAAGGAGTAAGAGACTGATTTTACCGACAGATGTTTCTAACAATCTCATTCAGAGCATCCCTTTTGGAATCTCTGGTAATGTGTGGTGCTTTGCCATGCAAGCCCAACAAACTTGGCTGTGTTTCCGGCTGCACGAGTGATTTGACCTCGGTTCAGGTTCGCTCTGTACCCAATCTAACATTCTCCATTTTTATTGTCATTAATCTCTGTGAAAATTGGCATGTTGCAGCGAAACTCTGAAGCCGTCAATATGGAAGAGCCGATACGAGAATTCATACAAAAGGTCGTAGATAAAACTCAATCTTCAAACCACAAACACATTTTTCAGCAGTGCTACGATGGTCTCATTGCTCGCCTTGAAGAACTAGCAAACCGTGGTGAAAAGCCTCATAACATGATTAACCTTTTATCGATGGATGGCGGTGGGATTCGAGGACTTGCTATGATACAGGTCAGAAAAATATATTAGTCATAGTTATAGCACTTCTTCTTGATGCTTAGAAGGTTTTTATTCTGAGTCATTTGATAATGATAGTGAATAACACAGGTGCTCATGGAAATAGAGAAAGAACTCAATGAATCAGTTTTTTCCTATTTTGACTGGGTAGCTGGAACTTCAACTGGTGCTCTGCTCGCCACGGGCCTTGCTCAAGGTATCTATTGAATTTTGAAAACACATCTATGTCTCTGGTTTACAGGTAAATCTCTCAGAGAATGTCAACACCTTTACTTACGCTTCAAGGACTTCATATTTAATAAATGGACCTTACCCTACGACGCTGCTGCTGTGGAAGAGTTCATGAAGGAAACCGTTGGAGAGGAAACAATGAAGGAGATTGATTATCCAAGGTGAATCCCCAGATTTCAGGTATTAGTGAACGCTTGAACATGAGATAAGTGTTGTAATGCTGTTCCTAAAACATGATTTGTATTGCCATTCTTATGCATTTTCTTTTTGCTGCTACTAGTATTTTGTGTTTAAATTTCGTCAAAGAGGGGAGAGTTTGAGATTCAAGCAGCAATCTATCCATAAATGGTAAACATTCCAGTAATGATAACTAATGGCATTTATATTTTACATTATAAAGCTTCGGAAAAGTAAAAATGAGTTCTACTGCAAACTTTACTGACACCGGTCAACGGCGATTCAGGCTGATGTTTTCCACAGTAAAGGCAGATCGATTTCCCGTGAAGCTGGAATACATGAGAAATTATCGATTGCCAATTTCTGAGGAAGACAACGTCCGCTTAGGTTTTGGCGATCCGGCAGGTACTTGTTAAATCTATAACTGCCATTATTAGGGTGTCCCATAATCTTTTACCGTTCTTATAACCGTCGTTTTTTGTATTTTTTCTTCAACTAATGTGGCTTAAGCGTTCGACAGGGCAAAGCAAGCTCTACAAGATGGCTATGAAGAATCCGCTTAAATCGTAATTCAACGGAAGTTTTGAGCTGAAATCTGATAGCAGCCGAATAAATTTTTCTTCAAAAATGTATCTCCACCCCAAAATGTCTAAAAAATTCCCGATTTATCCTAGCGCATGCTGGACATATCGCACATTCAATTGTACTATTTCCGTATTTTTTCCATGGCTAAAAATAAAGAAAGAAATGAATAGGGTAAAATGGCAAACCCCGCTTCGAGCTCTTCCCACGCACGTGATCATATAGCTCAAACTTATAGAAGTACGACCATTCATTTGTGAGTTTTGAAGGTGCCCCATTTTTTGAGAAATGCTGATGTTTAAGGCAAAAACGGTAAAAGAATTATGGGATACTTATAGAAGGATTTATAACGTATTTTCTGCAGATATACCCACTTGGAAAGCACTGCGTCGAACTTCAGCGGCTCCAATGTTTTTTCCACCAGACGATGTATACATAGACGGCGGTATAATCGCTAACAATCCTTTGTTAGATTTACTTTCGGAAGTGGAGCTCTATAACGGCACAAACACATATTTGGTGTGGACTAGATGCTTACAGTATATGCTCATACACATTGTAAAATATCGTTTCAGGGCCAACCCGAGAAAAATGTTGAAATCGGCTGTGTACTGTCTTTTGGCACTGGCCAAATTCCTTCAACACGACTTGATCCTTTGCACATCGGCATCTCTAACCCGATCTCAAGTGCCCTCAACTTTAAAAACCTCAGTCTCGTGATTGTTGATCAGGTAAACATTCGAATGTAACCAATAGAATGGACCAATATCAATTTACTGTATTCATTCAGGTAGCAGCAAGCGAAGGAGCACCAGTTGACCGTTCATTTTCATGGTGTAATGCCTTGCGAATACCATTTTTCCGATTTAGCGCACCGCTACGCAAGGTAAATTGCCTTAGTTAATGCCAAACTAAAGCTTTTATTATGCAGTCAGAGTCTAGAAACAACTTTGAGGATATTTAAGTTTTGATTCTATGAGATAAATCAAAAAAATGCGTTGGAAACCGCGATAGGTTCAAATGATTTCTTTATACAAGATCGTCGTTCACAATTATCAAGTTACTGCGAAAATATCGCACCTCAGTTTCAGAAAATTATCTGAAAATACGTCAAAGGGCTTTTTTCATCCTGAGAAAACTTGAAAACGCTCCACTGATGATCCCACCTGTTGCGGTTTTTGATTTTAGCATCCTTAGGGTGTTGCTCGACTGCCATAGCTGCAACCTTTGACCTTAAGGGAATGGCCATAGGTTGTCGATGTTGTCGGTGTTGTCGGTGTTGTCGACGTTGTCGATGTTGTCGGTGTTGTCGGAGTTGTCGGGGTCAGAGACAGTTTAGAGAGCGCGCGAAACGTGGAGGCTATCATGAGGTCCTACAACGACCGGCAACCTCGGCAAACCCGACAACCCCGATAACACCGACAACACCGACAACACCGACAACACCGACAACATAGACAACACCGACAACACCGACAACATCGACAACACCGACAACCTATGGTCGTTCCCTAAACTACTCGTCAGGGCTCGTCGACTACTCTGGCCTGTCCACTAGACATAGTCATTCTAATTCAGGCAATTATTGCGAGCATCCGCAGCCACTAACGGTGTTTTTTGGCAGTAAGTAGATTTTGGATGGGCCATTCGCGCCCTTCATTCACTTTGCCTCCTTCAATTTGATGTCATGGCGAGGAAAAGGCCATTGGCCCTAAATGCTTTATTGGAACACCCACGGCTCAAGAAAGGAACACTCGGCCGAGCCCCCAGCTTTGCTGGAAGCGCTGCATACTTCGTTTCCTAGCCAATCTCGGGTACTAACGGAGTTTTTGCTCTGGGCAAGCCCTGTCCATCAAATACCTCTTCTCATTACGATGAAGCCGCGGTCTTTAGTGGACGCCATGCACATTACTATCGCACCCGGTCTATCTGAGCCAGGGTGCGGCAAAATGATTCTGACAAGGTTCGGGCTCTGCCAAACTCCACAAATCTTACACGCTCTGTATGGAAAGTCCCGCGTGAGATATGCCGTAGCGAATGAGCTACAGTCTGCCCCAATCCTAACCAGGCCAAAACTGGCATAGCGGGAGTCCGCGTCGCTAGGGTTTCGCGGTCACGCCTACGGCCTGCTTCTTTGCTCCCTCTTCAATCCTTCTGCTTTCTCCGACAGCGCGCATATGCAGCGCAGATCGCTAGTGCTGCGAGCGCGCAAATTTAGGGCGACAGTTCGGCCTGATCCCGATTGGAGCAGAGTGTACCCATGTTCGATCTGTTGGTTATCGAAGCATCTACGGCTAATCTGCGGTGTTTCATATAACTAATATTGGAGTCACTCTATCTTGGCACCAGATAAATTGCCAGAAATCTGACAAACCTGGTAGTTGTAATATCGAGTCCCAATTAATGATATTACTACGAACTATGATACACACCGCGCAGCGCTCAGTGCCGATAAATTGCCAGAAATCTGACAAACCTGGTAGTTGTAATATCGAGTCCCAATTAATGATATTACTACGAACTATGATACACACCGCGCAGCGCTCAGTGCCGATAAATTGCCAGAAATCTGACAAACCTGGTAGTTGTAATATCGAGTCCCAATTAATGATATTACTACGAACTATGATACACACCGCGCAGCGCTCAGTGCCGATAAATTGCCAGAAATCTGACAAACCTGGTAGTTGTAATATCGAGTCCCAATTAATGATATTACTACGAACTATGATACACACCGCGCAGCGCTCAGTTTTTTTGGCGCTATTCCAGTATACCGACCCCAAAAATTAAAAATCTCGGATTTCGCTCAAACTCGGTATAGGGGGGTTATTCGACCCGCTGATGCCGAATATCATATCGATTCCGTGCGATAGCGCCATTTTCCGGGGGTTACGGTGGGTATACGGTAGGGGGTCAAAATCACAAAATTCTCTGAAACTCGGTAAGAGGGTGTTATCCGACATCCTGAACACGAATACGATATTCATTCGTTACGGTAGCTCCTCATTCCGGGGTTATGGTGGTTATACGGTAAGGGGTCAAAATCACGATATCCGCTGAAACTTCGTGTAGGAGGGTTATTTGACATGCTGATCACTATTCTGGTGTTTATTAGTTACGATAGTGCCTCATTCCGACGTTACGTTGGGTATACATTACCAATACCACCGCTAGATCGAGATTCAGGGCTTGAAATCTCAGTCACATGTCGGAAATTTCTTCCCCCTGCTTTGCTTAGGCAAAAGCCGCCGCAGGGTGTATCGCGCGCGGCGGTGGGTGTGGAAAGCAGTGAATTAGACCCTCCTACAGTATACCCACCGTAACCCCTGAATGAGGTGCTACCGTAACGAATGGATATCATATTCGTGTTCAGCATGTCAAATAACCCCCCTGCACCAAGTTTCAGAGAATTTTGTGATTTTGACCTCCTACCGTATACCCACCGTAACCCCCGAAAATGGCGCTATCGCACGGAATCGATATGATATTCGGCATCAGCGGATCGAATAGCCCCCCTATACCAAGTTTGAGCGAAATCCGAGATTTTTAATTTTTGGGGTCGGTATACTGGAATAGTACCGTTTTTTTTTTTATAAAAACCCGCTACTAGAATTTCCGGCAGAAAAAGGCTACGGTATGCTCCAATTAGGGACGAGGCATCTCATGCGTCAGCGCGTCCGCTTCGCTGGAGTTGCGAGCGCACAGCGCTGGCATTTTGCCAACTGAGGTCGAGGAGAATGAGGAGACACAGACATGGGTTCTTAGAACAGTGCCGTATACTGTAGCTGCGAAACGGCGCGAACCTTGCGAAACGGACGCCCGTCAATCAGTCCCCGTCTAAACTGGGTTGAAGCTTACTGTATGAGTAAACTGCGCCAGACTAGCGAAACGTTGCGTTACGGTCGCTTCGTCAGATTGCGCAAACGTGTTGGCCTTTCGTCCTGTGTCCTGACACATTCCTGTCACTAACAGATCGATGAAAACAAAACACAAACTGCGCTGCTTCTTACGCAGCTATGTATACACTTTGACTTGAGAAGTGCTTCGCATCGCGAAACTGCCACATTAAAACCAACACTTATTTTTTGAATGTGGCGCTCTTCTCGGTAACTGTACTAGACTAAGAGAGAGTTGATCGGCATAATGTTCGTTTAGCATTATGTCATAAGATTCTGCTACCGACTACTCCACGTCGTCACTCTCCGAGTTTTCTGTCGAGTAGTTTCAAAGGACCATTTTTCTTGACTTTTTCTTCCACTTCAATTTTCGGACGTGTTTCTAGAAAGTTACTCAAGTGCTGTTACAAAGCGCTTGGTTGCTTTTGTAGCTTTCTAGAAATAGTGTGGCACTTATTTGCCAACATATCTATGCTTGTAACACATGCTTTTCATTGCTAGTCGCTTGCGTTCATTACTCGTCAATGACACAAACAAAAGTTTCAGGCTATTGGCGTAACAACGAAGAATGACAATGACATTGCGACCATGATGTGGGATTGCGTTGAATACTCGCATAAAAATCGTACAAAGATTGTCAAGCTATGTGAGCTGCTCAAGCGAATCGGGAAGACGCCAAACGACCGTGAAAGAATATCAATTGCTGCTTCTTAGCCAAGCTTTGTTCGAACATGTAGTCAGGGTCGAGCAAGAGGTGTGGCACACGACCGCTGGATACAATCCCATGCCCTACTTTTGTCAATACCCCCCTCCCAACATTTTTGTCTGCTTACCAGTAGGCATGATGCAAATGTTCTACCAAGACATAACTAGTAAATTCGTAACAATTATGCAAATAACCCATGTGGGCCAAGTTTTAGCGAATTTTGAGGGTTCCCAATATTAAGCCACTCAAGTGAACCATTTCTAAACATGGTTAACTGTATTTTAAAAGTGAATTAGCTATCTCTTTTAGTACTCGGTACAAAGCACTACTCCTTGTTCGCCTATACCATGCCTGCTTCAAACGACCATTAAACTATGAAATTGTGAGCAAGCCAAAATCTCGTTTGTCCCATTTTGCTCGCAGTGGTTGTGTTTCCAGCAACTATCGTCAAACGAAAGAAGACGAAACCAGCTCCAATGACTTCCACAAAAACTACGAGATTTCGCTATCGAACCTCAATAACTTATTCCTTAATATTCTCTTTTAAGGTATAATGGAGTGTGGCGCAACTCCAGAAAAGTTGTGGCTGCACCTTCATGGTTCGTGCTACACTCCATTAACTTACCTTGAATTCGTTCAAATATTTGCGTTTTCTAAATCGTTGTTACTGCTCAACCTTCCTCTTTATAAAGGAGGAATTTCATTCAAAATCGTTTTTAGGGAAAGATATAAACGTTTTACCTTATTTGTGCAAATGGAAAACACTGCGAAAACACAGGGTTACGTTAACATGCTAAGGCCCATATGCACGTACATCCCCGCGGGGAGGGGAGGGGATCTGAGAGGGAAAGCGTCGTATCTCGTTAGTCTATGTATCTTTCTTCTTCTTTCTCTGTCTTGCTTTTGAATGTTCTCATACACTGATACTTGCGCATAATGGATTCCTGTTTACTGCCACTCGTCTGATCCCCTGGGGATCCCCAGGGGATCACCTCACATTTTCAAAGTCATTTATCTTCCTGAAAACTTAATGAAAATGCTCTAAAATCATACTGAGGATATACTACAGCACTGTTAAACATGCTTATGGTAGAAATGAGTGAAATGTCAAGATATCAAAAACTTTGAGGAACCGCTGCTCGCGAGCCAGGGATCATCGAAAAATTAAGAAATTTCAGATTCCATTTCTTCTGACGAAAACATGCTCAGCAGTATCGTAGTATATCTTCAGTACAATTTTGCAGCGTTTTCATTGATTTTTCAGGAAGATAAATAACTTTAAAAATGTGAGGTGATCCCCTGGGGATTCCCAGGGGATCAGCCGAAATAGTGATGATCTAATCTTGCATGGCAGTAACTTGGCATCCATTATGCGCAAGTATCAGTGTATGAGAACCTTCATAAGTAAGATAGAAAAAGAAGGAGAAAGATATGTAGACTAGCGAGATATAACGCTTCCCCTCTCAGATCCCCTCCCCTCCCCGCGAGGATGTACGTGCATACGGGCCTAAGTCTTGCTACTACGTTAATCGTGAGGGGAAGCGACAAGAATATTTATACTCAATGGTCCAAGTCTCTAAGCTACACCAAAGTGATTTGAGCCTGACGTCTTCTTCATTCTGAGATATTGAAAGCGAAAAATGAACCAAAGAAATTTTGGCTTGCCCTTAGTTACTTTAGTTGGGGGTTATTCAAAGAAGAATTCCTAAAGTTAACAAAGAAGTGGTAGTTCTTTGTATTAAATGCAGAAAGAAGTAGTCAACTCACCTTTGAGACAAAGCCAACATGATCGAAAATATCCGTCTTACTTGAATGGCCTAGTATTTGGAAACTTCAGAATTCGCTGAATTTCGGACCACAGAGGTTATTTGACATGCTTACGAAAATGATGCTCTTACAATTTTATAGATCTTTTATCGTGCTTACTGACTATACGATGGGCCAAAACATTAATGTGACGGCATTTTGCATGATGGGCCGATCTGACATTGTTGACGAACATCATGTCTAACATCGGAATCACCTCGACGACCCTCCTGCTCTTCCTGACCCCTCAATACGATTCCCAGGCGCGGTCTGCCACACCCCACGCTTGACTCTGCTGGTAGTTTCTATGCTTTGGAAAGCATTTAACACCGCTGAAAGCATTCATTACGATTTGTACATGTATGTAAAAAGATTGAAGAGTTAGCCTGTAATGTAAGGTTTCGAGCTGCTCAGGATTGTTTGCATATGAGGAGCAATAGATCATGCAGAAATATCGGGTACTGCCACAGGTTGCCACAATTCTTCAACATTGTTTAAAGTGTCTAATAGATGTAATCCATATCTTGTGTATATTATCGCATGACGACAAAGGTGATTTCCAAGTACACTCTGAGCGTTACAATGAATTTCTTTGTTCGGTTATCGGCTACATGAAGGTTAAGAAAAAAATGAGGGAATTTTTTGAAGGACAGCTTGGTCAACGAAAACTGTAAACAGTCCACGGCATATGCTGGTGTCAAGACTTATGCAACATCTGACTTCTTGGTGCCATTGACATACACTTCATAGGGCCTTTGTGGTAAATATCTATTTGTCTCATAAGTTTCATAGAAAAATAAATGAGTCGAGGGTAGCAGGTGCATCCACTGTCATGTGAAACATTCGATGTTGCAATCAACTTTTTTTTACTTTTTTTTAAAGATAAGGCAAAGTAGTCAGGATGGTACATTGCTAGACTTTGAATCCACATTTCAAATTCCACGCTTAGGCAAAACTCCAACTATTTTTGACTCATCCTAAGTGCCTTTTCGTATATGAAAGCAGGACATTCCTTGATTTTGGGGACTCATACGCGCTGTTTTTCCATGAGTGCTGGATTCAAAGACATGTGGTGGGAGGAGGAGGGGGGGGGGGAGTTTGCTTTCTGTTTTTGCGAGGTTTGATTGGGCTCTATTAGTGTGTAAGGAAATCAAACAACGAGTCAAGCGCTAAGGTTTCTTCATGATGTTCTGAGCAGTAGTTGACACTTTCTTGAACTTCACAGCAGATGTACATGCTGTTTGAAAGTTTATTATCACTAAGATTCTAGGTCAGTACATAAAATGAAGACACGCTGTTGGTAGTTGATTTCTTAAAATATTTCAATCACGCTGATGATTTTCTGTTCATAATGAAGATACAATGACAAAATAACGGTCATGTCAAAATCCTTTTGTGGCATTGACATAGTCTTTCGTAAACGCTTCAAGGTAAGGTGTCACACTAGAATCGAGATAATTCGTGTTCTTCAGATACAATAATAATACTTGGTGTATATACAAGTACTGTTGTTCAGTCTGAAATAATATAATGGAATTTTAAGTCGTCATTAAAGCTTCTGCACCTGTATACTATTGTTTCGTTGTTTACGTAACTCAGCAAGATAAGTAGAAATCTCAAGAAGTGGCGCGGGTAAATGTAGTAATTCCAGAGAATGTTGAATGAGTACTATAGATCCTGTTCGACCTATACCAGCCGAACAATGTACGATTATAGGAGCGCTAAAAATCCCTTTTAAGGAGTTTTCCTTAAGCTTTATAATGCTCTTTCTTCAAGAAGTTACGTGTTTTCCTTCAATTTGGCCAGAAGAACAACCGGTGCTAAGTCTGCATCCGGTACGCCACGATCAGGCCAATCTTGCCAGTGATAGTGCAGACAAGTGTGCATAGGTTGTCCAGGTGCGCTAACCTCCAAAGTACGAACGAGTATATGTACTTGAGTTTTAAACGGGAACAGAAACTGAAATGTGAGACTGTCAACTAGTGTAAACAGCCATAACAACTTACCGGCTCTTGCTTTTTCAATGCAACGATAACGCCCTCAAAATTTAATGGTTTGTCTTCTTCTAAAGGAAAGTACTCCGCGCATTTCTTTGCATTCTACCATGGGTGCAGCGTCAATGTCAGATGAATATTCCACAATCACTCACTTGTTCTATAAAGTTGCAGAGCATCAGAATGGCCACAGATTTTTCTTGTACAACCATGTACCAAAACTCGGGACAGGTTTTTGGGAGAGGTGCCTGAATGAGATGTGACGGAGAAAATTACCAGGAAGCATGCCACCGTCAAAAACACGACCTGAGTACAGATGAATCGTTTTGGATTTGTAGGGGAAGATACGTAATTTGCGTGAATATAAGATACAGGGCCAATCCGTATTATAACACGATCCTTGTCTAAGCATCCAACATCCTATAAAGATTTAGTAGCTATCCTTATATCCTTGGTATTTTTTCCATGAAATAAGACTGCTTTATTTCCAACCTTATATCTGTTCCTTCCTTGAGGATTCTGCGCGAGAAATTCCGTCATTTTCGTGAAATCATTCACACGCTTCATAGATTTAAACTCTATTATCAATCCTTTCACACCTTTTCGAAAGGTCTCTTCTACAAACACTTTGACCTGCATGGCATCGCTCAATCCTCTTCTAAAGTAATGCTTCAAACGAATTACTTGTGCCCTTTTTGCAGCTCTAGAAGCACGACGCACGGATGCATCTTCAAAGCTGCGCCGTTGCTGGGTTTGGGTTGATGATGTTGTCGATGTTCTGAAGAGGAATGAAGAATTTAGTCTTGTACTTCTCCTATTCAGACTTGCTTGGTGCTATAAGGGAAGTAATTTGAGCATCACTAGAAAGTATGAAAATTGTGAATACCACGCAGATCTGTTTTTAGGTATCTGTTTCGCAAAGGGCTTATAAGTAGTCATCACAAAAACTGCTGCAAAAGCAGGGCAGGCCATGTGACGCTTTGTAGGAACCGTAATCTTTGGATAGATTTTCTAGAATGGAATTCTGCAGATTTGCGAACTCCCATTAGGCCTCGGACAGAGTTCACGCGATTTGATCGTCGCGATTTAATCGCCACAATTTTCATTCATTTTTTTACATTCAAAAACTTCAAGCTGGAAAAGTATCACAACCAAAATGCAAGCTGATCGGCATGCAGTGAACTCGTAGATATCAGTTGTCTTTTGTAGCGAATGAATCGCGACGATCAAATCGCGTAAACTCTGTCCGAGGCCCTAGCCTTCCTTCCCATAAGCACCAAACAAACAGCGTCAGAGCGAGGTGACGCAGAAACTGCATACGCTTTGTAGAGCAGAAACTAGCAGTTCTGCAAGTCGAAGAAAATAGCAATGGCTAATGAGAACGATTTGCTCAGATGGATGGTGTCTGCAATACGTTTTTGAAGGACAGCACAGGATTCTTTTTGCTCCTAAGATAGTCATGCGTGGCTCACTATTTCCGAACCGAGACCGGTGATCTGCAGCGCCGAGATTTTTTTTGCCATATCAGAATGTTTGTGTGCCACATAAATGAAATATAGGGCTAGTGGCTAGAGAGTCCACGCGCCAGAAAGGAATCTATTCTTAATTTACCATTCTGCTGAGATGTCTACGAACTGCTCGCTCCAATTTACACAACTATGAGTCATTTCTGTACGTCCTTCATCTTTTTAATTCCCTGGAGTTCGAGTATCCTAAATCTATCCTAATGTAATTCAAACGTGTTCCATGTCTTCCGTCCTTTTTCCACAGCTGTCTCAGCTTGTTTCCAAAAATTTACGTTATTTCCAATCATTTTTCGTCGCCTATACGCATATTATTCGCTTCTATATCATGTAAAGCATCGTTTCATTAAATATTTTCTATCCGTCTATATACTCCCATGGCTTCTTGCTATCCAAAATCATCTTTATCTCACTCGTTTTCTTTTATCCCACAGAAAAGATATGTAACATATTCCTCTCTCATATAATGTCCATAACCCCTTGTTACAAAAGAACTTCACTCGCCGTCTTCGCAACTATGTTGAATGAACAATATTTTGGGTGAGGGAACTTACCTACCCAAAAGACTTGCCGCATTGTACCTTCGGTATCATGAGTTGTCAGCAACACTAACTAGCATTGTATGCAGAGCTGATCAGTCCGGAGTCTAAGTTTTAGAGCGTTGGTGTTTTGCTGGATTGAATATGTTGGAATATAATAATCTGACGAATTTTGGATTCAGCCAATTTCCCTAATCGAAGCAGATTTTCGTTTCTTTTGCAGTTCTTCCATATTCACTATGAATTTATTGTAAGAATTACAATAAAAACTTAGCAGATTTGGCGAATTGAACAGAGATGCTGATATCGGGAATAGCATCTTAGAGAATCCTTAATTACCACCTTTCATCTTAACTAGGCATATATCGATACTGAGGTTTCACTTCGAAATGACAACGAAATTAGAGGTTCATGCGTTATTGGGTGAGTACGAGGCTTACTGTGTTTAGAGATCAGTTCTGCACAGGGCGCCAATTAGCGTTGCTATCACCTCATGACCCCTATGGTTATGGCGGCAAGTCGTCCGGGTAGGTAAGTCCCTTCCCTGCCCTACTGGCACTTGTTTGCCCCTGACGAATGGCTTTGTTGTCTAAGGGCTCGGACAGATTAGATCGTAGAGATTTAATCGCTACAAGACAAGTTTTACGAGTTCATTGCATGCCGATCAGCTTGCATTTCGGTTGTGATACTTTTCCAGCTCGAAATTTTTGAATGTAAGGCCCCGGACAGACTTCACGCTAGTTGATCGTCGCGACTGTCGCGACGAGACAACTGTTACAACATCCTCAGACATTCGCCATTTAGTCCCGCAGGAGATCCACCCACAAAATAGGTAGTCGCACCAAAATCCGGTGCACCGGCGGGAGTCATCATTTTAGTTTTGTCCCGATTTTGGTGCGATTTTGTCCCGAAGCGCAGAAGCATGTCTGAACGAGTACAATTTAAAATTACTAAGTTCATTTTGTATTTCTGCCGAAAGGTTAGTTTCATTTTCAAATCACCTTCCGAGGAAGCTCCGCTCTTATTTGTTCAGTCACACATAAGCCAGGCTTATCATTTGCTGCATATTAGGTAAGTGCAGGTTTTTTGCAAATAGAGATTGCAATGCCCAAATTGCAACAGTGTTGAGTTCATGTTTACGACGTACAGTATTTGGCCAAGTCCATCGGCCGAAATATAAGATGCCTTAAACAAACAGACTGTGAACTTGTTGATTGGCTTTGTTTTCTCTGCATTTTCCTAGAACTAGTATCAGGACGAAAAAATCATAATTCTTTCTCAAACACTATCCTCTTTTCCCTATAAAAACTTCAAAATTACTTCTTACGATGAATCCCTATTCGTTGATGTTATTTCTAAGGCGAATCTACGTGTAATATGTATTTTGCAAAGTACCCCTCTCTACTTTCGTTAGGCGCACTTTAGCGACTAAATTCTGAAATCATAATTAAAAAAACACGGTATTTTCTTTTTGCTAGTACATCTAAAAAAACGGCTAAAACGAAGGCCTTTTAAGAAGATTTAGGCTCTGTTTTTCTAAAGCATCTTATATTTCGGCCGATGGAGGTTGTCCAAATACTGTACGTTCACGTCAGCCCCTCATGCTGGCTTGAATGTGGAAAACTTTTTAAAACATCGTGTTTTTCAGTAGTTCATTAACATTAAATTAGGTCTTTGCGTCATGACATCACGTTTATGTTTTCTCTTATTACTGTTGCGGCTTGTAGAAGCCGTCCTTCACGTTGTCATTCACCCAACCCTTACATCGAGCTACATCTCTCAATTTACATGATGCTTCTATTTGATCACAGTGATGAGAAGTTATAAGGTTGTTTATAAAGAGATGTTCATTACTTATAAACAACCTAAAAATTAAGGAAAGAAAGAAACTAACAGTAAACACAACAAAATCTTGCTGCGACAGTGTACATGACAGGTACACTGTGTACACCATGTACATGGCCATGTACACAGTGATGACCACATGCCGCGCAAGGGTCATGAACATTCTTGTACAATCACGTGAATCAGCATTCCCGGCGCATTTACTGATATAGATTTTATCATAAGAGCTCAGCTCGCCAGGAATTCTTACATTGTGAGAAAATCATTTATGTTAGTGGTAATTCCAGAATTTGCAATGGATGAGAGCAAAATTAGACATTATAGAAAAACAAAGCATGTTTTGAATGGTATGCCGGCGACCTTTTGAAAAGATTTGATTTACTTCTATGAAGTAATTTTTAGAGGAGCTCCAGCATCTTTCGTCGAAGCGAATCCGTTCACATTTGGGAACGGATATCTCCGAAACAGCTCTATCCACATCTGAGAATGCTGGAAATAGTAGAGATGACAGCCCTGTGCACACCCACCATTTGACAAGCATGGATGTTTTCCACGATTCCTCACAACGCCCTTCACATGCAATTGATACAGATTCTCAGCCTCCAGAGCGGGCATTACCTCATGTCGAGAAGAACGAGGCGCTCAACTACATGGCCAACTTTTCATTGCATTTTGGCGTAACAGATGCAATGGGGAGTTATCTGGATGACCTCCTTAAAATAAGGAGCCAAGCGCCGTCAAACAGGGTTGTCGATCGCATCAGTTCTTTGAATCAATCGAGTGTTCCAGTGCACCTTTAAGTCCGATGTCAATTTTTTGAAGAACGAGCTTCTCCACTCTTATGAGTACGCTCGCTATTTTTTCTGCAACGGATGCTGTGGTAACCTTAGAGACAAAACATCTGTTTGCAACCGGACAGGATGCTCCTTGAAAGGGTTCATACACTGTTTAGACTCTAATGCTGAATCATAACTACTGCACTGCAGCATCAGGCCCAAAAGGTTTGTTCTGTTTGCAGGTGAACGCCCTTTCGAAGTTGAGAGAACAAGATAGGGAGTTGAGGAGGACTAATTTTCACGTTGCGAAGAATAAGGAGGATACGTTGCCAAAGGGTTATTCATTGCAGAGAAAAAATATATCCAGGGTCTGGCATTTTGAAAGTGCACCTCCCTTCAAGGTCATTTGGAGATTACTCTCAGCCTATAAGGAAGAAAGTATCGATTTTAGGAGATGAATATGATCGAAGTTATGGAGAAGTGGCAAAGACCAAAACGCGCTCACAAGCATGACCATTTCCTGTTGGTACTCGACTTTTTGAGGCACTTCTTTCTGCATGTAAGCGACAAATAGATGAAGATGATAAGGTTGTCTTGTAATCACCGTTTAGGCCTGCGAACCCTCAACGGAAATTCAAAAATACGCTTGTAGACAAAGTGGGAAGAAGGGAAAATTTGATCATCTCCCAGAAGAATTGGTCGATTTTTTAATAAGAGGGTCAATGTGTATCCAAGTACATTACTTTAAATAACTGATTTAGGTTTCGTCCTTGACGCCCTCGGCCTGTACCGTGGCGAACTTCTGCGGACGTCAGACGAGCATAAGCGGAATCCAAATAGGTATGTATGTCTTCGAAAGGTCTTTATGTGCACTAGAATTTAGGTGGTGGTTGTCCTTAGCAGAAGATGACGACGGTCGCGAAAAGCTTTTCAATGTCCTTTCAGAGAAAAGAGTTGTATGGAGCGGTAAAGCAAGAATAGCAATAGGGAGAGCCTTGTGAGTTTTCTTATACGGAAGAAGCGATACTTCTGAACTATAGTTTTAAAGGGCAGACATTCGAACATATCATTTTGACCCTGAAAGATCCGCTCTTCTTCCAACAAAAGTGATTCATTTGTTTTATGTGATCGTGGTTCAATAATTTTCGTTTTTTCAGAAAAAGCGTTTCGTTATCGAAGACACCGAAGGCAACGGTACCAGTATCACTAAGGAAAACCTGGTAATTCGGAAAACCGAATGCGTAGAAGATGACGTCGATAACCTCTCGGAAGCCTGATGCTTTGTCTACATTTTTTGTTGTAGTTGTTCGTAACCTTGTGTCGTAATTGTGGTGCTTCGAATATGTAGTATTTGTTTATAAATTTGTTGATTTTTGACTGAGTTTTACGAGCAGAAAAATAACTGGCGTGAGAAATGAGACCCGAAGAGACGAAGGATTCAAAGTAAGTGAAAAGAGAGGCGTGAGAGAAGACCAGAGGACGCAAAAACCTATTAACAAGGGCGTAGGCCGCCTGCTCTGAATGCGATCGGGACAAAATGGTGTCTCCCGCAGGTGTCCCGATTTTGTCCGGATTTTGTCGCGCAGTTTTGTCCCGAAACAAAATCAGGTGTCCTGATTTTGTCCCGACACCGATTTCGGGAGTCGCGCAGGCATTCCGTGACGACACCTCATTTTATCCTGCGGGACTCAATGGCGAATGTCTGAGTCATTCCATGCCGATCAACTTGCATTTTGGTTGTGAACTTTTCCAGCCCGAAATTTTTGAATGTGAAATGAAAATGAATGGAAATGTCGGCGATTGAGTCGCGACGATCAAATCGCGTGAAGTCTGTCCGGGGCCTAAAATGAAAATGAATGAAAATCGCGGCGACTAAATTGCGAGATCAAATCGTGTGAACTATGTCCGAGGCCTAAAGGTACTTACCGCCGCGGAGCGCGAATTGTCTGGAGTCATTTTGTGTGATTTTTTAAGTTTCGTTGAAACTCGTTACGGGACTGCACACCAATTTTGATGTCGCTTCGGGTAACACCTCGTGTATGAATTTGCTACAAGTTTTCCGCCTTCTTAGTTTACTGAGACTGTAAACTTTTCAAGTTGCTGCGGATCGTTCCTACAGATGTACTCAATCCTTTTGGGCTTTTTCAAACCCGCACGGGTTATTTTGAGAAACAATGGCTACATCTAAAAGCTACATCCTTGTTGGGCTCATCATCTTCATCCCATTAGAAAAACTCTCCACTTACTTTTGCTGTACTGACACTTCTTCTTCCCTGCAATGGCAGTGAACAAGTACCCAACGTAAATAGCCAGTGAAAGGTAGAGACCTACACGGTTTGCCCCCCTCGTCTCCGCACGACTCTTTTCGACCCTTCTTGAGAAACTGAGCGTGATCCTTTAGCTGCCCGAGCTGCTTTACGTCTTCTCCTTCTACCCAGTCTTGACCTGTAGAGAGAACTGTCTGAAATATGAAATTCGACAAAAAGCTTTTCAGTGAAGCTTACGGCATTTCTTCTCTCTGTGTAAGTTCAATTCTGGTGCCTTCTGCAACATATCTTAACATTAACTTGTGCGAATGCAGAAAATGCCGCACCTTGACTTGCATTTCGCCTTCCTCTTCCTCTTCGCTTAAAAAAGAACATTTTGGGGTGAAACTAGCTATAAGAATGAAACACCAGGCTTGTTGTGCTACATTGGCGGTTGTTAATCACTACAACAATCATTTTACATGATTTGAATCATACAGCAGGCGGTTGCAGAGGTTCGCTTCCACAGCTGTGGGTCTACTGCCCTCCCCCCTCTCCTTATTTTGATGAAATTCGCAAATCAGGCATCAGTGCGACACCCCAAGACATCATTAAAACCCCATCAATAGAATACCCCCAGGTTACTCAGATTTCTTTGCTCTACCTAGAGTTATGCCTCAGTTTTCAAATAGCGCGCTCTAATGAAAAGAATAGTTTGGACGGCTGCAATGATTACTAAACCTGTTGGACGATTTGATCAAGTTTTGCATTTTCTAGCATAAGAAGCTTTAGCGGAGGCTGTCTTAGAGACTGTGGGAGGGGTGGGTGGGGGGGGGGGGGGGGGGAGAGGAAGTACGAACATTTTGTACCGTTTAGTAGCTTCAATTTCAACAGAAACATTGAGAGCAGATTGCCAAAATGTACTAAACCCTCACTTTACTCTACCACAAACATGAATTTATACTCTGTGGAAGTAGGATTGCCCTTTACGACAGGGTTTTAGCACTACAGCTCCCAATCCCTAGCATTGGAAAGCAATGCTTGTAGAAACAGTGCTTGTGTCGAGATTTTGTCAGTTGTCAAAAATACCAGAACACCAGAGTGCCTCTAGATAGCCGGAAAAAAAATCTTTGAAAATCTCCATACAGTAGTCCATACATTACTGTAGCATGCTTCTATCATGAAAATGCCAAAAACAAATCTCAGAAATCGTGAAAAAAATCATTTTAGAAGAGAAACCATTACTGTTTCACTGTAGAGACAGAGCCCGAGATAGGAAAATCAACCTCGTGCACTAGAAGAAGTTGACGTTTCCTGAATTTGAAACTGTGTTTCTGCAGAAAATTTTGTGATAAGAATCTTTTCCTGTAAACAAAGTTTTCTCTTTTTCTGTTTTTATTGCACGCCTATCATATTGTTGTGTATAAGCCGTAAGCCGATATGCCCATTCTTCAGAGGGGAAGCCAAAGAATTCTGAGTAAGATCTTGTACCGTAGATCGCTTTTGCCGATACAATTGCGCAAGACAATGACCGCTTCGCTAACCGCATGCGCGATTGTGCACGACTGTTTAGAGCAAACAGAGTGGGACTAAATAAAATACATATCAGAGCGTCACATTGAACAAAATTAGAAATCTGGAAAAAATCAACATTTCAGCATTACTATCAACATTGAACAAAAAGTTGAGTGTTCTTTGATCAGCTTTTCCTGAAGTGATCCTTCTCCCCAATAAAATAACATATCGGATTCTTTTCTAAAATAGCGAGTTATGAAAATGCGTATTTATAACGTGCATGAACCTTTTCAACTAGGCTAACTCTTTTGAATTCGCCCACCTACTGCCCACCCACAACAAAAAATTTCCGGTTCCCATAATTTCATGAGAATTCTTGGAATTCCAACCTACGCCTAGGTCTTCTTTTCCTTTTTCTCGGAATGATATGGGACTAAATTTCCGTCATCAGTTTGGATATTGAAAGAAGAGCCGCTTCAATTGAACAACACCTGCAGCTGGCTCTCAACCGTTAATGCGCGAATTTTTTAGAAAATGTCAGGAGGTTGTTTCCCGAAGCTACTGCTACCTTGCCCACCCCCCCTCCCCACCCCACTCTTGGCGATCTTGAATTGCAATAGTTAGCGCAAAAGATTTTCTAATCAGAGTTCCAAGAACTCGTTAGTCACTATTTTGTCCCATCAAAGTGCCTCATTATGTTTGATTCTTCAAATAACATAGGCACAAGCTGCTGCCTCTGCGAACTGCATTTTTTGGAGAAAATCTATCCGTCTATTTTTGTAGTACATGTTGAGTTGGGTGAAAAGATTGACAACTTACTGTCCTTCTTCAAAAACGCCAACATGTACGTAAAAGCTTTTAAGATCTATAAGCTCAAAGTAACAGTAGCAAGAGCATTTCAGAATGTTTAGTACTCCTTTTAAGCTTCATATGACCATAGTTTTACCTTCATGACTAGCAATCAGTAACGAGAAAGTGCCTGAAATCCACGCAAAAATTGCGATATTTGTTGTCGATTTCCTTCTCTCGTGGCTAAAGATTATAATTTTGCACTAGTTTGCTGAAGAGGAAAAAAAGCAAGCTGCTTATTTGTATTATGTTCACTTGTACGCAAAGACCATTACTATTTGTGACAACATAATTATATGAAATCGCATTTAGCAGATCTCATTGCTGCAACCGACGCAACTTTTCTAGAGGCTGCTATTATAATAATTTTTATTATCCTACAGTAACCATACTTTATAAATACAATTGTTGATTGTGTATAGAAGTATGGTCTCTGTTGTTGCCATAAGGTTTGCGAGGAGTATTTTTTTTATAACTGCCTGCGTCGAGACTTAGGTCTAATCTCATTCCCCTCCATATGCGGCTTTGATCTTTGCGAATATCGTATTTACCTTTGCAACGACTGCAATATGTTGCTCGGACGTAATCAGTCCATTTATTGCTATACGAAGTCGTTATTTCAATATATGCTCCACTGGGAAAGCGCTATTTCTGTTATTTTCTTTCCTTGTTTTTTAGAAAGCCTTTGGATTTGAAAACCTACCGTCCAGATTTGTAAACCTTAGTGGCATAGAGAGACCTAATCCATGGAGCAGCAAGATAACCCGCTTTCCACACATCAGGTTTAATGCGTAACATTTCATTTAAACAACGAGATCTCCAAAAGTTCTTACTATTTTTGCATACCTTTTCAAAAGTCAGCAAGTACTAATCAGAACAACGGCTATCAAGCTATACAATGGAAAGGGCAGGAAAACTTTATAGAATAAATTCGTTTAGCTCGGAAGTGCCTCCTGTTATTCACCTAAACCGCATTCCTTACTAGATAAATTTGAAGATAATGGTAAAAGTCAAAGTTGATTTCGCTATAAAAAGTGTGCTGCTTACGCAAGTAATCATTTGACGTTCAAAAAACGGTCAAGTGAGCCCGATGGCGAGCTTTTTGTAGGAATCATGTCGGAATGCAGCTAATCCCAGCAGCTGGCAGCTGCTTAAAGGCAGCGTCCACCCAGAACCTTTTCACTACAGATTACTACTTATTCTACAAGCACGCCCTAAAAGTAGACCAACCGCGTCGGTCCGGTCCTCTAATGTTGCCTGCAAGAGCAGATAACGGATCTAATCCTTTTTGCGCTCCACCTCCTTTTTTGCGCCCCACCCACCCACGGATTGCACCTGACGTGTTCTGACATGACAAGCAACCCCGAGACGCGTTGTTGGTTATGTGGCACACGACGTGACTACCGCCGATTCACCTCGTCCACGTCTGCCTAAAGGACTTCAGAAAGGGGCAAATTTGGAGCTTTTCTGTAATTTGAACCTTATATCCGAATTGAACGTCATGAAAGGGCTCGATAACATTGGAAACATGGAAGACGAAATGGGTGGACGCTGCCTTTAGGATGGGGTTGCCCTAAGATAGCCGTTTTTTGGCAGTGATTCATGCCCGCCGGCAGAACGGGTTTTTCCTCCCACTGACTGTAAATTAAATATATTAGGTTGAACCGAAAGTTCTTTCGCACCAAATTCAAAAATTCATAACTTCTGAATTTTCCAGCCTATTGGAGCGCTCTTAGTTTGGCCGGAAAAAGTAAGTCATGCTCTTTATAACACTCTTAGATGCTTGCTAATGGTCATCTGTTGCGTAGATAGGAGCTGTAGAAGAAAATTAGTCAAAATTCGAATTTTCTGTGTAGGGTCATAAAAAATCGAAAACTTTCAACAAAAATCGGAGGAGTCGGTATTATAGGTTCTTTCACCAGCTCTTTCTAACAGTGCAAGGTTTGCGCCGATTGAGCGTCTCTATGAAAAGTTACAATTTTCCTGAAAATGCCAAAGTAAATCAAAATTGCCCTTTTGTATTGCTTGCTCGAAACTCGTAACTTTTCATAGAGAGTTCAATCGGCGCAAACTTTGCACAATTAGAAAGAGCTGGTGAAAAAACCTACAAAACCGATTGCTCCGATTTTTGTTGCAAGTTGACCAATTTTCTTCTACCGCTCCTATCTGTGCAATAGATGATCATTAGTAAGCAATTGATATGTGTTTATAAAGGGCATGACCTACTTTTTCATATTAAAATAAGAGCGACAATCGGCTGGATAATTCAAAAGTTATGAATTTTTGAATTTGGTGCGAAAGAACTTTCGTTTTAACCTAATAGTATTACAGGAAAACTAATGCGATCCTACTAGAACCCGGTATAGAGATATATGTTGGGAGACGCGTTTCGAAATTGTTAGATGGACTTGGGTATTTTTAGAAGCATTTCGAAACTATCAGTACATAGAACATGTACATACATACGTGTACATACATATACGTGCATATATCGGCCAACTTCCTCGCAAAAACGTCAAATTAAGCGAGTTGCTGTTGGTGGTTGTTTTGTTGTTTGTTGGTGGTTTCCGAAGAATCGTAGGGCACTAAAATTTTTGATTAGGTGGTAGTCGGCGAAGTGCTTCTTGGCCGTTTGAGCAATTCCAAGAAACATAATTTTCTGAGCCTTCTAATCTTGCTCCTCTATGCCTGTTATTACTGTAAAATCATATCAATCAGCAGTTTCCATGCAATTTCCAGAACACCACGTGCGAGCTGCTAACAGCGATACATTGAGTTATCTTGCCTACGCAAGAAAAGCGTCACGCTGCTGCAGCAAAAACATATATCTATGGAGCATTTACTACATGTTTGCGCACATACTTGAAATTATCAACCTCCAATTTCAAATCTGAATCAGTATTTCAAGAGTTTCTCGTAGGTGCTTAATATCTGTGAAAGTTGCATCAAGAATTATGCTGACGTCTGGATATTGTTCAAATCATACTTCATCAACTCAAACTTTTTTCTTAACTTATGAATGGAACTATCTTACCCC